TGTGTGTGTGTGTGTGTGTGTGTGTGTGTGTGTGTGTGTGTGTGTGTTATGACAACACACACACAGACGGTATATGCAGTGCAGTCCTCTGTTGTGTTATTTTGAGTCCACCAAGCTGTTACGTGATGGGAACCCACATAAAAATCACCCATGTGTTCCAGGTTTATCATTGGCTCGGGTGATTCATGCTAATACCTCAGCATACGCTAGCTTTATATCAGAAGTGGGAACTTGTAGGACAAAGGGTTTATAATTTGAAACCTTATATAAGATATATTGATTACATTATGTATCCTCCTCTGGCATACCTTGTATTGTTTATTAGAAAGTGTAGAAGTCGTTAATACCGGGTGGTCATATCTGCAGATGTAACTGTTAGAAGCACTAAGTACTAGTTATATAATATATTTAAATAAAGAAGTAGTCAAACTGTCCAATACTTTCCTGATTAATCAAAACGCTATGTTACTGTGCCGAGCTACAGCGGTGCATTGAACTAAATGCTAACAGCTGTGCTCACAGTGACAATGCTAACATGCTGATGTGTAGTAGTTTTTAATGTTTACCATGTTCACCATCTTGGTTTAGAAAGTTAACATCTGGTGGACGATGAAATATCTCACTGGGTAAGTACACATTTTGAAACGCAGGTGGTGCTGGAGAACACGTTTGGCTATCAACAAGGTCAGTATGATTCAACCTCTGGGGAACACGAATACCGTAATTTCATGGCAATCTGTTTAAGACTTGTAGAGAGCAAAATGGAGGCCTAATAGAATCATGATAATAGCGTGACTAAAAAGACAAATACCCACCAGAAGTTCTCCCTTTTCATTGCTTGTCAATAAGATTATTTGGTAACAATTTAACAGTTTAAAAGTAGGCCGGAAGCTAATGTCCTGGTATGTAAAATATAAGGAAGAAGGAAGAACTTTGCACCAAAGCCTTACAGTTTGTTAAGCTCCTGAGGTGGAAGTGTGCTGTTGATGAGTTCACAGAAAAACATGTCAAAATCACATCACAGAATGGACAAGACATTCTTTCCCAGACGGACGGGACCAACCCACCAGGTCGAATGTCATCGAGTCCTTGTTGAGAGCCTCCACGTCAGGCAGGCGGGCCTTCACTTGGGTCTTGATGTAGCACTTCTCGCCCCCTGAAAACCGGATCCCTGTGATCCCCTGGAGAGACCAGAGAGCAAACAAAAAGCTGCAAGTCAGAAGTTCTCCGTTTGTCGTGTTGTCCTCAGCACTCTGCAGTGACTCTGTGGCTGTAAATGTGTACATCGAATGCAACATCATAGCTGATCTAATGACATTTTGGGTGGATGCTGCATTATGTCCAAGATTTAAAACAAATTCCACTCACAGGGATGCATTGATTAAAGGTCAACATTTTAATAGTCTAAAGACCACAAGTGCTGCTTCACTAGTTTGATTGGCCTGATTGGGGTGCTTTAATTAAAGGTCAAAAACCACGAGTCTGCATTTAATGAAAATTGGAGGGACGATGCATCTTGACACTCACTGGCCCAAAGGGAGATGGCATGAACTACTTGCTGCAATCTCCCCACAAGGGTCTGTAAAGTTTCAGCAAATCCGATCGACCTCTTCTCCAAATTGCTCGGAGAGTGCAGACCAGCGTGTTGATGAGTCAGGCTTTTCTGCTTTCACCTGATTATTTTAGATCCAACTCACAATGTCAAAGTCATGGACCTCCACGGCCTCGTCCGCCCCGCTGCCGGTGCTGAATCGCTCCATGTTATTGGCCGAGTCGATCTCCATCGTACCCTCCTCCACTTTGCCATTGATGCTCATGCTGTAGTGGACATTGTAGACCTACACACACACACACACACACACACACACACACACACGTTTTCAGACTGGCACGTAAGGTATGAGAGTCCTGAGAGTCCCCCCCAGCCCCCTCTCTTTCAACACTCTCCCTCATGCTCCCTCTCCAATCTTACTTTTCCCTCACACATACCTCTCTTTTCTGGATGTCCCTTTCAGGCGCACGTATTCATTCAAACTTGGTCAGAAGAGTACAATCCGTGCAGCTCTGGGTGATGATGCCGAGCCTTTCATCGTGTCTTAATAGCATTTTCTAACTTCATATTGGAAGAAAAAACACTCAGAAAAGCTACATTTTCCCTCTGGTCTCCTCCACCTCTTGCTCCTGGAGCATCAGCCGGACCAAAGAGGCCACACCCTGCCAGGATCCTCCAACACACACTGCAAACACACACACACGCCCCCATTCACCAAGCAGACTGCACCATTGAGCTGGAGTGTTTCATTTACATTTTACTGTTTGGCTACACTGCAAAAAAAACTCTTGAGTCTCTTTTTAATTCCAACAAGTTAAAAATGTTACCAGTGACAACTTAATTTCACTTGTCACCAATTTAAAACAGTTCATTTCAAGAATTTCTTCAATCTAGTGGCATTATTTTAACAGGGCTTGAGTCTGTTTTCTCATTGCAGAAGCGTTTTGAAAGTAGTGAAACTACATCAGAACAAAACAAATTATTTAGCAGATCAGATTCCATTTGATTTGATTCTTGATTGAAAATTGTACTTTGTTAGAAAAAAAGGCATTCCAAATGCTTATTGATGTTTGCATTGAATATCTTATTTGTAATATATTAATAGAACCTCTAATGTATGCCACCAATTTATACATAAATAAACACCTGACTCAGAGCAGAACTGTTGTCCACTGACAAAGGGCTCCTTTATGAACCATGTTGGTGGAAGTTGTCTTTTGCAAAGGAAAAGGAAATTTAATTTAGGATGAGAAGAAACTAAGACCCTCTCCAGTTCTTCCCAAAAAATTCAAGAGTCAAAATGACACCCCCCCCTAATCATTTTCGTAAAGTAAGAGAGACGTTAACATTTTTGTCTTACGTGTTTTTCATTGTTGTTCCAGAAGTAGAAAGCTCCGACTGCCCCGAGTAGCAATAGGAGAGCACCGGCGATGAGCACCGCGATCCCGGCCTTCAGGAGGCGGCCGGTGGCGGCGGGCTTCACCGCCATGGCGGAGTAGGCCTACCGTAAAACAAACAAACCCCAAAATGACCATATCTCCATGAACACAACATCATCCTGGTAGATAACAAAGTATTTACACCCGAAAACCCAGTTAGACCTATGATTGGATGAATATTGATTCTTGAAAAACAAACAGTGAAAAGTTACAGAGTGGGGTTTTTTGGTCATCTTTATCTTCATCTTTATTCTCTATCGGGCATACAAGCCTCCATATCCCGGGATAATCCGACCACAATGAGCTCAAAACTCACCGGGGGCATGAAGTGCTGCAGGTCCTCTGGTCCCGCCGAGGCGATCGGTACTTTCTCTGAGTTCCCGGCCATGACTGGAGCCAAACACCTGAGGGGACCCCAGTCCACTAACTCCTCTCTCTCTTTCTCTCTCTCTCTCTCTCTCTCTCTCTCTCTCTCTCTCTCTCTCTCGCTCTCTCTCAGTGCCTCCACAGACTGCTGCGGGGTCAAAGGCCACCCTGGCAGGAATGTCGCATGTTTTCTCCAGCTTGGAGACAGTGTGTATTTACATAAGGGCGCGCAAGAGAGGCTTGTTGGACAGACTCTGGCCTTATTTCATGTCTTATGAACATTTCCCTGAACCCATGAATGATAATGTAAGTGGCGCAACGTGCGCATTTGGCAGATAGACAAGAAAAGAAAAAAAAACATCCTGGCTGGATAGCAGGAGGATTTTTCTCACAATGGCTTCTTTTTCTTTGACAAAAAAAACCCCTCTGGTGTGGATGAAACTTGTTAGACGGTTAGACTTAAGCTTCGGAGACGAACAGTAAACGCGCCTTTACGCATGGTCAATCTCGATATATCTACCGTGCGCGCATTTCAGGTGGTGGTGATTTATGTATGCCTAATGGAAAGCTCAGCATATCTTTAATTCTTGCATTAACATGCAGGTCTTAGGCAGTAAAATGCAGTTATTACGTCCATGAAAATGAGAGAAACTGTGAGGGAGTTCGCTCTTGATATGCATGAGGTGTTAGAGTGATTTGCTAGAAAACCTTGGCGTCTGCTCTGGCAGCACTCCAGCAAAATCGTATTCACAAAAGAAAAAGAAAAAACTAAACTGACCTTCTTCGGTGGGCGGCAAGGACAGAGGCTCACTATGCTGCAATAACAGCGACGCCTGTTGGCTTTTCCTATAGTGACACAGTCACACGCGCCCCGCGCTCACCTCACCAGGGTATTCAAGTTACAGAGCAAACACACCACTCACATGTTCAGAACAGTATTTCAAAGTTTATTTTCTCTCAGAATAGTGTGACCATTTTAAAAAAATGTCTGTACAATTACTTCTTATTGCATTCACATGATTTCATACATCCTTATCAAACTTGATACATTGTGGGGTCAACGGCCCTCCAACTGCACAGTTTCTGGGGCCATTTTTAAATAAGTCAGCGTGCTTAAAGATCAATAATTACATTTATATGTACATATCTTTGCTTAGTTATTACTTCTTTATAAAAAATAAAATCTCTGTATGTACAAAACTTGCATATGATACACCTCATGTCACAACAACATGTCTCAAAGTGATTGAATGGCCATCAAGTGTGGCTTTTTACAATAAAAAAAAAACACTGAAATATTAGGATACAAACTTATATATATGCACACTCTCCACAGCTAAAAATGACTTTAAAAATGTACAGTATTCTCATTGTCAATGAAGCATAAATTAAATCTTTGAATACACTATACATTTCTTTGAGAGTGAGCTTAAGTGTGTATGTGTGCGATGTCTTTTTTTTCTTTTTCTTTTTTAGACGTCGTCGTTGGGACAGTGTGTTGGGGTGGGGGTGTAAACAGGGATGGCTATATCACTGATCTCCTGCACCCTCACGGGCCTGGGCGGGGTGACCAGAACGTAGTCGTACTCTTTGTGCAGCACCTTCTCGTACACGCTCTGCAGACCCACTGTCTTGGGGATGTGGGCCTGGTAGTAGTTGTCCCGGCGGTTGGGGTCCCGGGGCAGGGAGGCAGTCTTGGAGAGGCTGCTGAAGGAGGACAGGGTGGGTGCTGGAGAGGGAGCTGCATTGGCTCTCACTGCCGAGGGGCTCCAGCAGCGGTCTGAGTGACCCAGGACCTTACATTCGCTGGTGCAAGCCCACAGAGCTGGAAGGGACGAAGAAAAAAAAGAAAGAGGAGTTAGATTTAGAACCACTGCACTTTAATGACATCATCATGTAGAACCATTCAAATGTGTCACTGCTCTTGCCCTCACCATTTTGGCCACCCATGGGAGGAACCACGACCCCATCCTTCTTCAGGCCTGTGTCTCCACTAACATCACTGTCACTGTCGTTGAAGTCACTGTCTCCCTTGCCACTGTCTTTGCCACTGAAGGCCGGGTCCCTGGCAGAGATGGTGGTGTAAGAGTTCCCCTTCCAGATGGTGATGGGCCTCACAGCCTCTTTGGCGTTCCCATAGCCCGGCAGAGTGGAGTAGCCCTGCAGGAGGAGAGAAGAGAGAGAGAGAACACATGAGGTTAGCGTCTGCTGGATGAACACGTCGCGGATTACTCATTGTTGTGTGCCACTATACACCCTGCTCGAGCGCACTGTCCCGAAGGCATATCTCACCTCGTGTGTATTCCCTCGAGGCTTGCTGTTGCTGTCTGAGTCATACACGCAGGGCACCTCGCTGCCGTCCTCTGAGGCCGAGCACATGTCGATGCCCCCGGGGTGAGCCGAGGTGAACCCCCCGGGCTGGCTGCCGTAGGAGTGTCCTTCAAAGCCCGCTACGCCCCCGTTACCGTGGAGAGGCAGCAGCGGGTTGTCCGCCACGTGGTTCCTGCCCCGCTCCAGCGTGCCCTTCTCACCGTACGAGTCGCTGTCTTCCCCGCTCTTGTCCCGCTTGCGTCGGTTGCAGGTGGTGGCGATGAGGATGATGGCGAGCAGCAGGAGCGTGCAGCTCCCCGCGAGGACTACGATGATCACCACGGACAGGTCCCACTGCGCGTGCACATCGTCCCCGCCGCCTGGCTGGTATACGGTCCTGTCGCTCGGCGGGGAGCCCGCGATGATGAGGAAGTGAAGCGTGGCGGTGGAGGTGAGCGCGGGCCTCCCGTTGTCGCTCGCCGTCACGGTCACGCTCAGAGTTTCGTCCACGTCGTGGCTGAGCACCTGGTTGAGGTAGATCTCTCCGGTGGCCTTGTTGACCGAGAACACGGAGGGCTCGCCGGTGGCTAGCCCGTAGGACAGCTCTGCGTTCACGCCCTCGTCCGCGTCCCGCGCCTCCACCCGGGTGATGACGTAGCCGCTCGGCGCGTCCCGGGGCAGGAGGACTTCGGCGGAGCCGTTGTTGAGAGGCGGCTGAGTGATCACCGGTGCGTTATCATTCTGGTCCACTATCCTCACGTAGACGTTCGAGCTGCCGGACAGGGCCGGGGAGCCGCCGTCGCTGGCCGTGATACGGAGATCCAGCTGTTTCATCACCTCGTAGTTGAAGCTCCGGAGTGCGTAAAGTGACCCGCTGGCGGGGTCCAGCGACACGAAGGTGGAAATGGGGGAGCCCATAAAATACGTGTCCGCCAGCTTGTAGCTGACCTTCCCGTTTGACCCCATGTCCATGTCCCGCGCCACCACCGTGGCGATGTACGCGCCGGGCGCGTTGTTCTCCGCCACGGCCAACTCGTACACCGGTTTGCTGAACACCGGAGCGTTGTCGTTCTCGTCCGTCAGTCTGATTGTGTACTGAGTGATGGTCCTGAAGGGTGGGGAGCCCAGATCCTCTGCCACCACCGTGAGGTTATATTCCGGGATTTTTTCCCGGTCCAGCGGGCTGGTGCTCACAATCATGAAGCTGTCCTCATACGCCTGCTGCAGTCTGAAGTGATCGTGTCCGTAGAGCGTGCAGTGCACCTGCCCGTTAGCGCCAGAGTCTCTGTCCGAGGTGCTGACCAGAGCCACGAAGCTCTCTCTGGACGCCGCCTCGGTGATGTACGCTATCCCCGCCGTTATGGACGTCATGGGGGTGATGGAGATCTCCGGTGCGTTGTCGTTAACGTCCTGCACCTGCACAACAATTTTGCAGATGGCCGGGCTCGGATTCGGACCCAGGTCGGTGGCCTGGACGTCAAACTCGTACGTGGTCTTACTTTCAAAGTCAATCGGGCTCTCCAGGGTGAGCCGCCCGGTCTTCCTGTCCACTCTGAAGAGTTGCCGTATTTCCGTCGGCACCTGGTGGCCGAACCCGTACACCACCTCGCCGTTCAGCCCCTCGTCCGGGTCCTCCGCGTTCAGGTCCAGCAAGAGGAAACCCACCGGTGCGTCCTCGTGCAGGTCCACGGAGAAGCTTTTCCGGTCGAACACCGGGCTGTTGTCGTTGTAGTCTTTCACCTTGACGTTGATGCGCGTTGTTCCGGTGCGGGACGGGTTGCCACCGTCCATGGCGACCAGCTCCAGCGCGTAAGAAGCCTGCGTCTCCCGGTCCAGCTCCTTCATGAGCACCAGCTCCGCATATTTAACCCCGTCGGCCCTGCTGAGCACGTCGATTGAAAAGTGGCTGTTGACGGAGATCTGGTAGCTTTGAATGTAGTTCACCCCGACATCCTCATCCACGGCGAAGTCCAGCGGGATCCGCGTGCCCACCGCTGTGTTCTCGGAGATCTCCAGGCTCGACTCTTTCCGGGGGAACTCGGGGGAGTTGTCGTTGATGTCCTTGACCTCCACCTCGACGTGGATGAGTTTGAACTGCTCTTTGGAGAAGCTGACCACGTCAAAAGCGATGAGGCAGTGCTGGGTGTGTTTGCAGATCCGCTCCCTGTCTATCCTCTCTCCGATGGCCAGCTGCCCGTCGCTCTCCCTCAGACGGATGAAAGAGGAGTTGAACTGTTTCATCATCCTGAAATTGGTCCGGGAGCCCGTGGAGGACATGTCCTTGGCCAAGTTTCCAATCACCGTCCCCGGTGCGTCTTCCTCAAATGTCTGATATTTCACCGTCTTCCCTTGTGTGACAGCAGCCAGGCTTGCCAAAGAGACGCACACGAGCACCAACAGCCCGGTCCACCCTGTTTCTCCCATCTTGGCACCTTCACTCCAAAAGAAACTGAAATTCGGCAAACTGTCCTCACTGAGTCCGATTTAAAGTTGAAACAAAACGCACCTGGAGAAATGTACTCCTTCCCCGCTCACCTCCACTCTCCGGGGTTGTTTGTCTTTTTTTGTATAAAGCCAGTAATAAATATTCCATATGTTTTTCAATGCGCACTGTAAATGCGCTCCGCTCTCTCTCTCTCTACTGAGGTGTGCTGCTCTCTCAGCGCAAGAGGGCTGCAGTGTCTGCAGGAGGGTTTATACGGCGAGGCATGCAAATGAGCCGCACTGTGACCAATCCGGGCTTTG